GGGCTTCAGTCACCGAATGGGGAAACTTGGCCTGGACTTGAAAATCTCTAAACTCTCCTATGTCTTTAAAGTTATCTGAGAGCATGAATTTCATTTTTACATTTTTTATTTTTATTTTTTTTAATCCTCATCCGAGGACATTTTTCCATTTTTTGTACAGACAGAGTGGGAGGGAGAGAGAGGAAAAGAGAGAGAGGGAAACATCGAGTGGCTGCCACCCGCACGACCAACCAGGGCCGGGGACAAACTGCAACCGAGGTACATGCCCTTAGCGGGAACCGAACCCGGGTCTCTCCGGACCGCAGGCGGACGCTCTAACCGCTGAGCCAAACCGGCCAGGGCCATTTTTACATTTTTTAAAATGGAATTTATTGGGGTGACATTGGTTAACAAAACCATACAGGTTTCAAGTATACAAGTCTAATTTTTACATTTTTATTTCTTCACCATACCAGTGAGATGAACTAGAAGAGAATGTCTAAGCTGTGGTGCCCTGACCTGCCAGCTGAGACCAGGACCACTCAGCTCCAGTCTGAATTGTCACAGGGCTCCTGGTCTGGTCACTTTCTGGCCTTGAAACTGACCTCCTGGAATTGTGGAACATAGTTCTGTACAACAGACCATTCCTGAGTCTACCAATGGTTGTTAAGGCTTTGCTAAAAATGTGGATAAGATTAAAAAAAAGAAAGAAAGAAAAGGAAAGATAAAATCAGGTATGGCACGCAACATATGTAACACCTGGATGGTATGGGTACTGATGAATCAGAATGAACACCAGCATCTGGCAAGTCTGGAGTGGGGTCCTGGAGGCCCCTGCTGTGCCTGTGTGTTAATTACTTGAGTTACAGGATCACAGAGACAAGCCTGGGTCCATAGTTGAGGGCATTCAAGGCATCTGGTATTTTAATGACATGTACCGGCATTGTTGTAGTGGTTCCTGTAACTTGGTACAAATATTCTCTCTCAGGTACTCAGCTTCAGGTGTGGAGTGTGGGCTGAGCACCCTAGTGCAGGACATAACCTGCCAAAAGCCTTATAGGCAGCCTTTTGTCATAAAAATTGTCAGCTGGGAGTGGGGAGGGCAGTGCACATCAGAACCTCTGGTAGGGCTGGCGTGATGTGTTCCTGTTTATCCCAAAGGGAACACACACTGAAGAGAGCCCGGGATCACTGCCTTATGACATTACCAAGGCATTTGTCAGTTTTTGCAGTATGGCTTTGTTATTATAAAATATTTTCTTGTTATGGGCAAACGTTTTGCCTAAGTTATCTCAGAAGAACTATTGTGTAATTTCCCCCCCAAATCGATGATCTGATTCTCTTCCATGCATTTTAATAGATGCCTTTTGGATATTTATTGTTCTAATAAGGTACAGGTTGGGGCGATCCAAGTTTATTTGGGCACTTTAAAGTTTCAATGGCTAATTTTAAAAGTTCCTTTCAGGCCTTAGGTGCAGCTTAGAATTGTTTTGTTCATTCAGTTCTGTGTCTTGTCCTGTGCTAGGTGCTAAGGGTTCAGAGATGATAGAAATGGCCCCTGCTCTCAAGAGCTTACAGTTGGCTAAAATCACAAGACAGATGGGAAATAGGCAACGACAGCACAGAGTGAGGGTATGGACCTAGGTTCTACGGTGTGGGTGTTCTGGGAGGACTTCCCACAGGAGACTGAGTAGGAGTCTTCAGGCCAGGCCACGCCTCCTGCATGTCCATGTCGGTTACTCCAAGAGGCTGTCTGCTTCCACTCCTGCCTTCCCACATACAGTCCGTTCTACACGTAGCAACCAGAGTCATTTTTCTAAATTCATGGAACTCTCTGGTCTGAACCTCCCATGGCTTCCAACTGAACTTTGAATAAAACCCAACCTCCTCCGTGGCCTCGTTTGAGCCTCCCCCTCTCTGCTGATTCTGCTCCAGCCACACTGTCCATGCTTCTGTTTCTGGAACATGCCACCTGTTTGCTGCCAGCCCTAGGGTCTTACCACTAGCAGTCCACAGAGCTTCTCGTAATTGGCTTCTTGTTCATTTGAGCCTCAGCTCAAATATCAGCCTCTTCGAAACGTCTCCAGTGACCACCCATCTAAAGGAGCCAGCCGGTCCCCTGTATTAATCATGCTTTTTCTTTTCTTTTTTAAAATATGTTTTTATTGATTTTTAGAGACAGAGGAAGGGAGAGAGAGATAGAAACATGCATGTGAGAGAGAAACATCACTCGGCTGCCTCCTGCACGCTCCCTGCTGGGGATGGAGCCCACAACCTGGGCGTGTGTCCTGACCGGGAATCAAACAGGGATCTCTCAGTCCACGGAACGATGCCCAATCCACTGAGCCACACTGGCCGGGCATGCTTTTTATTTTCTGTATCTTATGGTGTTTTGACATCTTAAGTAACTTGTTGGCCCAGGGTTAGCCAATCCTTACAGACAGCTAAGGACTCTGCTGGAAACATGTCTTTACGTGCAAACCACCCAGTCCTGAGTCTATGGTCCCAGTGGTCTCATCTAACTCTCACACATCAAGCCAACATTTCCCCTGCCCTAAATCATCCAAGGGCCAGGCGCCAGAAACTAGAGACTGTCCCCATAGCCTAAAGCCCAAGGAAATTATTCAAATTAGCCAATTCTAAACTGTTTACTCTGCCTTTCCTCTCCTGCAGAACCCCCCATAAAGGCTTTGGCCTCAGCTCTCCCCCTCACCCCTTTCTACCTCTTGACTAGCCCTGGAGTTTCCCATGTGGCTCTGTGTGTCGTGACATGCCCCCTCCTCTCGGGAAACACAGGTAATAAAGATCTTCCAATGGCATCGGTCTTTCCATGTCATCACTCAGCTGTGCCTCTAAATCAGATTCTGGGTATAATTTTAGTGCCGTCCACAAACACCCACTCTGTTTACTGTCTTCAAGGCACTTAGCAGTGTCGGGTGTCCTCTTGTTTGTCACTTGCCTTTGCCCCATCTCCCTCCTCAGTATGTAAGGTCCTTGAAAGCAGGAGTGAGATTTTTCTGGATTCCCATAGGTCCCCAGTCCCTAGGATTGTGGTGGGCACTTAACTGACTTATTTTTGGGGACCAGATCAATGAGTAATAGACACTAGTATTGCCTTTGGCCACGCAAACCTATCTACATTCTACTACAAAGATTAGAAGAGAAATGGGTTTGTGTTGAAACTAGTCCATGCAATATGGAATACAAAAGCACCAGCTATAAATGTTCAGTTAATACTTGTGAGCACTCTCCAAGCGGCGTGGTGATATGTTTTAAAAGGATAAATCAGAGCTATTTGCAGAGATAAGGTTAAGACTATTAGTATCAGTTTTAACTCCGTCTCCCTCCTTCCTCTTGGATTATTCCTATAACTGAATACAAATCCACCATTTGGGCAGTTGTTTTTTTTATCCTCACCTGAGGACATTTTTTCCATTTTTGTTCAGGTAAAGTGGGAGGGAGAGAGAGGAAGAGAGAGAGAGAAACATCAAATGGCTGCCTCCCGCACGACCCAGCCAGGGCCAGGAACAAACTGCAACTGAGGTACGTGCCCTTAGCGGGAACTGAACCCGGGTCTCTCTGGACCGCAGGCCGACGCTCTAACCGCTGAGCCAAACCAGCTAGGGCGCAGTTTTGTTGCCTATGCAGGTCTGTGTGACTAGGGCTTGAAGCCTAAGAAAGGACAGCTACATTTGATAAGATTTGGCTCGTAAGTAAGACCCTGTCTGCTAAGACATCATGTGCACGCTGGGAAATTCTCCTAGTTGCTGTGAGTAAGCCCTCCGGTGGAACAAGAATAAGGTGCTGATGGCAGCAACAGTGGCAGAAGGGAGCGTGTCATTAGGGAGCAGTGTTGGCACACTGGCTACAGTGTAGGGACCACAGTTCTGAAAAAGTCCCCCCAAAGTTGTCTTCTTTCTATGACATAATTATCATTACAGTTTTTTAATACTTTCAAAATTAAATAGTAAATAAAATGAAATAGTCTTATTACTGAGAAAATTCTTGATTATTGTTATTAAATGAACGGGAATAGCCCAAGTGGCACAAAATCAGAGAGTATGTTCTGTTTGCTAGGGAATGTCTATTTTGCTCACATTTATTGAGAAAGCTGCATTTCTGAGAACTCATGAACTTTTTCTAAGATTGTAATGTTTTCGTTTTACATAACTTGATGGGCGACATAATTAGACATTTTGACTCTAGTGGCCTCGGGTGAAGATGGTTTCAGAAATAGACAATACAAGTAATTCAAGGATAGTTATAGTGCCCTTAGAGAACCCCAATCATCTTTGTTGCTTAATATTTTCAGACAGAACTTAAAATCAAATTTTCATGGATGGATTATAATATGGATAATCCATCCAAAGAGGATTGAGGGGTCGACTAAGTCTCTAGGGTTAATGTTTGATCTGAGAAACTTAGGTGTTCAGTTCTTTTAATTTTCCCCTTTTATTAGGGTGGAACCCATTAGCCAAGAGAGTTATAAATATCAGGTGTACTTTGTAAAACAGGTGAATGACTCCATTAATAGAACTTGAATTCTAAACCAGAACTTTTGCTTTACACTTCCTTATGTTTGGAATACTGTTTAAATATATATTCAAAAGGGGAATGATATTTGAAAATTAATTATTATAAATATCAAGCATTAAAATATGTTGGCATTTACTGAGTGTGATTCAATAAGTGCACTTTATAATAATTTATTTAATCTTTATAATAACCATTTGAAAGAAATGCTATTATTATCCCTATTTTATATATGAACCTGAAATACATACATTTTAGCTATTATGAAAGGGAATAGACTTGTTATTATGTCAGAGTATGGCAAATGGAGGATTTAAGTGAAAGATGTGCATTCATTCTGAATTTGTCTCATGAATTGTAGGGAAAGCCTCATGAAAATTTAGATAAAAATCTGTTAATTTTTAGACAGTTTTTATATAAATTAAAAGCTGTTAGGTGTTTGTACCACAGACACGGACATTGTAAATGCAAGACAATACCATTAGTGATAACTTGCTGAAGGAAGGTTTATTGAACACAAAGAATTGACAACATTTTCTGTAAGGTAATCAATGAGTCATCACATTTGTATGTGACTTTCTTCCAGATGAATGGGGAGATCCTACTATTGATTGCTACAGTTTATATTTCAGTAACAGAAAGACAAAGGGACAGACATTTTTTTTTAGACTTGCTCATTTTTCTGGACAGACATATTATGCCTTCTCTTCTCAGAAAGTATTTGGCATATGCTAGCTCTTATGTCTCAAATTAATTGCTTTGAGACTTCTCTTCCAGAGAGTGGAGCCTGGTGCTCAGTATTTTGCTGCGTTGGTCTACCTCCTCAAGAACTTTCTTAACCACTATGGGTTTGACTGGATCTAAAAATTAAAAATTTAAAAGATTTTAGAGAGTTGAGAAAGGATGAATAAGATCACAATAGCTAAAATGTGGAAGGAACCCAAGAGTCCATCAATGGGTGAATGCATTAAAAAAAAAAAAAGGTATAAACATACAAGGGAATACGATTCAGCTCTATAAGGGAAGGACATTCTGACATGCTACACCACGGATGGATCTTGAGGATATTATGCTAAGTAAAAGAACTCATTCACAAAAAGACAAATGCTTTAAGATTCCATTTATATGAGGTATCTAGAGTAGTGAAATTCATAAAGAGAGTAGAATGGTGGTTGCCAGGGGCTGGGGAGGAATGAATGGAGAGTTATTGTTTAATGGATATAGTTTCAGTTTTAGAAGATGAAAAGAGTTCTAGAGATGGATGGTGGTGATGGTGTACAAGAATATGAATGTACATAATGCCACTGAACTGTACACACTAAAATGGTTAAGATACAAAATTTTATGTTCTGTATATTTTACCATAATAAATTTAAGAAAACAAAAAAGAAATTATATTAATTAAAGGAATAATAGGATTTTTATATAGGATAAACTATGTAACAAACACAAATACTTAGACTCATTTTTGGTGAATTTTGATTTCATGATTAGCTAAAAATATAGTGACATATTTCTGTGTTTAAAATAAACACATATCACTAAAGTCAGACATCTAGCAACACATATCTCTACAAATTTTTATTATATCTATTCTCATATATAACATATTCTGGGAATATAAAAGCAATCCAGTTGTGCATTGAAAATGAAGTAGTATAGCATAAAAAATAGAATTTGCTTTTAATTACCTTTGACCTGACTTCCCATGTTTCCAGACCCATAATCTTTAGACTTGTAACCTCCAGACTTGCAAGTCCTGTAAACACATATTGTTGAAAACCTCACAAAAGAGTGACTTGGAGAGAACCCCTTCAGTTCTAGTTTCATTATTATGTTTCCTTTAGCTGTTTGGTGAGCACATTTCAATGGGTTACATCTACTTTAGCACTGAAAGGCGAATCTTAAATTTTCATACCTTAAATACAGGGCTTGTTGCGTTTTGATTTTGTAAGATGTTGCTAATTTGTATCTTAGTTGTAGAGAATCATGTTTAATATTTAGTGTCTATGATAATAAATGTGGTCATATCAGTTTATGTTCACTTTCTAGAGATCTAAGTTTGATGCAGATTCTAGTGCATTCCTTCTCTGTAAATTATTTTACCTACCCATCATCTCCACCAATGAGGAGGCAGTAGGTCTCGATTTCTTTTTCCAGGTGGACCTTGATGTCCAGGAGCTGCTCGTACTCAAGTTTCTGGCCCTCGGTCTCGGTTCTGACCTGGTGCAGCTGCTCCTCCAGGGCCCCGATCTGAGCCTGGATCTGGGCCAGCTGTGCACAGTAGTTGCCTTCCGTCTCGGATAGGGAGCACTCCAGGGACTGTTTCTGTAAGGAAACAATGAAGAAACGGAGATGGATAGACACATATACAAACTTGCTTTGATATATGACTTTCTCCTCTTGTTAACTTTGCCTATAATTGCTTTAGATTTCACATGGCTCCATGGTTCAGAAGGCTCTGTGACACTCTTAAAATGAGCAAGTCTTTCTTTTTGGTAGATTAAGCCTAAAGACATTGCTGCTGCTATTTTAGCTGTTCTATATAAAATCCTATGTTCTCTTTAAGTTTTAAGTTCATTACATAAAGTAATATATGCATCTATTCTCAACATGGTTAAGAGCTTTACAACCAACTGGCACATATTTAAAATGATGGTAAGAAATTGTCCTTCCCTACCGTGGCTAATAGAGACTGAAGTTCAATCTCCAGTGTTTGGAGATTGCGCTTCATCTCCGTCAGCTCATTCCGGGCGGAGGTTGTGGCCCCCACATCCTCAGAGATCTGCTGTTGCAGCGAAGCGCTCTGAAAGGCACAAGCGAGGGAGCAAATCTTAGTCGTGTGACCATCACCAAAATGCGGCAGGCTTGTTTTCTGGACAAGACTCACCTTCTCGTTGAACCAGGCCTCCGCATCCCGGCGGTTCTGCTCGGCGAGCGCTTCGTACTCAGCGCGCATGTTGTTGAGCAGAACCGTGAGGTCCACGCCGGGCGCCGCGTTCATCTCCACGTTCACGTTGCCCCCCGCGGCGCACTGCAGAACTTGCATTTCCTAGAGGCAGATAAGTGTGCCGCTCAGCTATGCAGGGATCTCAGAGAAACTCTAGAAGCTTAGCTTTGGAAGATTTCTTCTTAGCTTTCACCTGGTTCCATCTCCCAGGCTGTGCAATGAGCTCCCTTTGCATTTAATATTTCCTATCCAGTGGACATAACTTTCAATGACAGTGAACTTCCTGCCTCATGAGTTAGCCTGTTTCATTCTTGGAGTTTTAATTGCTCCAGAGGTCTTTCTCATAGTGAACCCAATTCCAGTTCACAAACTCCAATTCATCCATTAGTTTTAGTTCTGCATATAAAAAAACTTAATTCCTTTTCCAAATGAAAGTCCTTAAACTATTTAGAATGAGTGACCCATCATCTCTTATTCTATTCATTTGTAGCTTAAATATCTCCACCTTGGTGGACTGGTCATTATTCCATTTTGAGACCAGCTTTAATGTGTTCTCCACTCAGCTATATCCTGAACACATCATGAACGTGGCGGAAGGGCTGAGTCTGAATAATTCTGAACAGTTGAAATACAACTATAAATAAATAAACATTTATATATTTATACTTATTTATAATTAAAACTTATTTATTTATTTATTATTAGTAAAGGAAGAACACCATCTTCTAAAGAATCCTAGCTGTCCATTGAGCTATTAAGCTTACACAGAACATTACTGTGTCCTGATGGACTTTGGTGTCAAACCAATCTCTGTGTGAATTTTGGTTCTGCCCTCTAGTAGCTAGGTGTACTTGGGAACATTATTTAACTTCAAGTCTCAGTGTTCTTCTCTGAAAATTGAGAGTAAAAAAAAAATATCCTTTTCTGTGTTGTTAAAATATGTGAAATAGTAAGACTAACAATACTATCTGGCATGTAGATACTAAATAAATGCTAGTTATTATGATCATTATCATCATCATAGGGGTTGGGATCAGTTTTGCATATTATTTCCTATTATTTCATCTGAGGTGTGGGCTGTTGGGATGCAGTGAGTCAGTTCTAAGATTGTGGATGGCAGTCACCAGGGCTGACTGTGTACAACTGAAACAACGTGGATGAGCGTAGTCTCTGCAGCAGGAGTCCTCCTCCCCACCCACGTCCCAAGCCCCAGATTGGTCCTAATGACAATAATGAGCCTTTCTTTCCTCCCTGTACCAAGTCTCTCAGGTGATTCTAGCCTCCGTTCTTCCCTGGTGGTCCCCATGTCTTCTCTATCTCCTGGTGGGATTTTCAATCTGAGGATTTAGGGAAAACTTCCCAGTTCAAGCAGAAAAAGAAAAAGATAAAAAGATGCATGGGGGTTTGTCTTTGAGTTATTAAAAAATCAATTGCATTCAATTTAATAAAAAATTTGTTATAACCATACTTGGACCCATATATTTATATAAATGTTGTTCTTCAAATTCTTAGATTTACAAGACAGCCTTATGACTAAGCAAGCAGCATTTTTAGCTTGATCTTCTACTTTAAGCATTTGGCTTGACTAGAGAAGTTCTTTGGCTGTTTAAAAATATTGAATTCCTGCCTTGGCCAGTGTGGCTTAGTGGTTAGAGCATTGGCCTGAGAACCAAAGGGTCTCAGGTTTGATTCCCGGTCAAAGGCACATACCTAGGTGGCAGGTTCAATCACCAGCAATGTTTCTTTCTCTCTCTCTCTAAGATATTTTCAGAAAATAGTGGTTCTGAAAGCAATCCCAAAGGTGAGTCTGGAGTAGTAGATGGATGATACAATTTGGAATTTAGCTTCCCACGGTGACCCCTTTGTATTTATTTGAAAGTGTAGATTGTGATGTAACAGTTTAATTTCAGTTTCATTGTTTTTATAGCCATACCTATTGAGAATATGTATTAATGTTAAGTATATATACTTAATGTGTGTGTGGAGTAAATGTTTAAGTGTTTTAAATCTGCCACTATTGCCTGGCCGATGTGGCTCAGTGGTTGAATGTCAACCCATGCACCAAGAGGTCACTGGTTCGATTCCCGGTCAGGGCACATGCCCAGGTTGTGGGCCTGACCCCCAGTGGGGGGCATGCAGGAGGTGGCTAGTCCATGTTCTCTCTCATCGATGTTTCTATCTCTCTCTCTCTCCCTCTCCCTTCCTTTCTCTCTAAAATCAATAAAGAAAAACAATTAAAAAAATAAATCTGCCACTGTTATATAGAAATTTAGATCTAGTTTACTTAGGCCGTCCTTAAAGTATATATCTTTTATCTAATTAGATAGAATCTTTTAAGTATGCCATTTTAACTTAACTATAATTATCTAGCCAAACACTGCTCTTGGAACCCTGATTGGTTTGGAAAACATGGTTCTTTTTTTTCCCATGGGAAACAGACAGAGAGCAAGGGTGAATCTGTACAAATACTTTGCCACTTCTAAAGACAACTCCCGCCTCGTGTCTGTCTGAGAGTGGTTTGTTAGGACCAGTTTCTTGTTTAAGAAGTCAAGTACATTATCTCCTGTCAGGTAGACAGTGTCCGCAGAGGGGTGGCAAAATGTAGACATTCGGCTCTTACCTCTTTATGGTTCTTTTTGAGGTAAGTCATTTCCTCACTCAGGGTTTCATACTGAATCTCCAGGTCCGTTCTGCACAGGGTTATTTCATCCAGAACTCTGCGCAGCCCGTTGACGTCACTCTCCACGCTCTGGTGAAGAGCCAGCTCATTTTCATACCTTCAAGAATGTCAATGGTTTTCAAATTGTCACATGGTTGGAGAAACGGTCACCAATCACTGATCAGATACTAGAGGTCTGGAAATCTGAGGTGGCAGATTTGGCCGTAAGAGACATTTTCAAAGTTTATTGTATGGTCATTATTCTTTTCTTTATTTTGATGTATTTCTTTGACAGAAAAAGAGCTAGGGTATTAAACATTGCTTTTATAGCAGTTCATACTTTGTATTTTATGGCAACAGATAAAAAAGTAATAACAGTCCGTTTACTTTATTTATTTGTTTTTAATTCCTCACCTGAGAATATTTTCCCATTTATCATCAGACAGAGTGGGAGGGAGGAAGAGAGTGAGAGACAGAGAGAAACATTGATGTGATAGAGCCACATTGACTGTTTGCCTCCCATACAACCTGACCAGAGCTGGAGACTAAACGCAACTGAAGTATGTGCCCTTCACCGCAATTGAACCCAAGACTCATTGGTCTGCGGACTGATACTCTAACTGCTGAGCCAAACACAGTTTGGGTTCAGCTGGCAGGGGTGGGGAACCTTTTTTCTGCCAAGGGCCATTTGGATATTTATAACATCATTCTCAGGCCATACAAAATTATCAACTTAAAAATTAGCCTGCTATATTTGGTCAGGCTGATTCTGTGAGGCACGTGATGTTAGCTGGTAGTGATTTAGGGGGCCGTATAAGGCCCATAAGCCTGGTATTCCCCACCCTTGGCAGAGCGTCAGCCCTTGGACCAAAGAGTTGGGGGTTAGATTCCCGGTCATGGGCATGTACCTCGGTTTCGGGTTTGATCCCTGGCCTTGGTAAGGGTCCTATGGGAGGCAAGCTATCGATGTGTTTCTTTCACATCGATGTTTCTCTCTCTCAATCTCCCTCCCTCCCACTCTATCTAAAAATATCAATGGAAAAGTATCCTCGGGTGAGGATTAAAAAAAGAAATTCAGTGTAATGCTTTCCTTCACTCTGAGAGTCTACTTACTTGAGTCTGAAGTCATCAGCTGTCAGCCTGGCATTATCGATCTGTAGAACAGCATTAGCATTGCTGGTGGTGGAAGCAATGATCTAGAAATGGGGAGTTTGGTTTTTTAAAGGCAATTTATCACAATCAATCAAAAAAAACAACAACCTAAAAGTATTTTTTTTAGATTAGAAAATGAATATAGTTACTAGATAGTGACATTTTAAATCACGAGGTTAATGAACTGAGTCTACTTAGTGCTTATTTCCAATGCTAAATTGAAAATTCTTTTAAGAAATTACAAGTAGAGATGATACATGGTGTTAGTCTTCAGCGAGGAAAGGAAAAGAGCATTTAGAAGTGAAAGTCCATAAAAATGATTGCAAAGTGTAATTTCTTACCTGACTTTTGAGATCATCAATTATAGGGAAATATCGACTATAGTCGTGATCAAGACCACGGCAAGAACCAGGCCCAAATTTCTCGTACCAGCCCTTGATCTTCTGCTCCAGGTCTGCATTGGCCTCCTCCAGAGCACGCACGTTGTCCAGGTAGGATGCCAGGCGGTCGTTGAGGTTCTGCATGGTCACCTTCTCATTGCCGGAGAGGAGGCCCCCCTCATTCACGGTGAAGCCAGCACAGGAGTTGCTTCCGCCCGTATTTCCTCCCAGTGCGCTGCTCCCGAAGGCACACGAGAAGCCACTTCCAATTCCAGGCATGCTGCAAGCATTTTCAGCCCCGAAGCTGGCTCCCCTGCCCGCCAGCCTAAGCGATCCTGTGGTGGAATGGGGATAGGCCCTCCGGGAGCCGCTGGAAAGTCGGAGAGACATGGTATCCTGGCAAGGGGGTGGCAGAGCTGAGCGCCAGAATGGAATGCCTTCTCTCTTCGCTGTTTTCTTTGCCTTTTTATAGACAATTCTCAAGGTGTTCTGGATGATATTCTGCCTACACAGAGTACAGCGTAGTTTGCCAGCCTCAGCAAGTTAGCATAATTGGATGATTTTTCCTAATTGGTAACTGACTTTGCTGGGCTCATTTCTGTAGGAGGGCAGTTGCCCTCAGGTTGGTGGTTATCTGAGAAATGGGTCTGGGTGGAGCAATTTCAGGTTCCTTATTATATTTTAAAATCGTGGGTGAGTCATTCTTCACTTCCCTCCTTGGGAGATAAAACTCATCAGTCCGCCGCATCATAAAAATCTGACATCATGGTTTTGGGCTATTTATGCCAAGGCAGATTTTGATGTTTTTGAGACTTTTCGTATTTTATTGTTACAATTCTTTCCACTTAAGTAGAGAACAAAACTGGAATTATGATTTCCCCAACCTGGTCCTTCAATGACCAGCCCCACCCCCACCCCCTCTTCCCACTGTTTGTGATGGGAATTAACTTCCATTTTGGCTGACACGCATCGTATTTTGTTGACACTCACTTATGTCTAGGGATAGTTGCCTTCTCTTATCCATTTTAGTAATTAGGAGCACACCCTTAATTGCTGTTATGAGTTGTGGGAGTTTGGAAGGACATTAACTTATTTCCTGACCCAGCAAAATGTGAAGCAAACCCGGAAGCAAATATTTCATCTGTTTTTACTTCATTGTGGTTTAGCGTCGGTGAAAGTCATCAGTAAATTAACTATTTACTGGGTGTGGACCTCCATATATTTATTGAAAACCCTAAATATTATGGAAATTTTTGAAATCTGGAAATTGGCTTTTGGACAAAATTTTCATGAACATTAAAGTGACACTGTTGTGAACATATGGATTAATTAATTCATTCATTTATTCAACAAATATTTATAAAACATCTATGTGTCAATCACTGTCTGGACATTTGAGATAAGTAGAATAATGCATTCTTTCTCCTTTTTTTTATCCTCACCCGAGGACATTTTTCCATTTTTTGTACAGATAGAGTGGGAGGGAGAGAGAGGAAGGGAGAGAGAGAGAGAAACATTGACGTGAAGGGACACATCGAGTGGCTGCCACCGGCACGACCAACCAGGGTCGGGGACAAACTGCAACCGAGGTACGTGCCCTTAGCGGGAACCGAACCCGGGTCTCTCCGGACCGCAGGCCGACGCTCTAACCGCTGAGCCAAACTGGCCAGGGCTCCTTTTGTAACTGGCTTATTTCCTTTAGCATGTTTTCAAAATTGTGTCATGTGTCAGAATTTCTTTCTTTCTTTTTTTTGTTTTCATTGATTTTTATTTAGAGAGAGAGAAAGGGAGAGAAGGTTGGAAACATTGATGTGAGAGAGAAACATTGATCGATTGCCTCCTGCATGCTCCCCACCGGGGATTGAGCCTATAACCCAGGCATGTGCCCTGACTGGGAATCAAACCGGGATCTCTCAGTCCATGGGACGATGCTCAGTCCACTGAGCCACACCGGCTGGGCAGAACCTCTTCTTCTTCTTTTTTCTTTAAGGCTGAATATTGTTCTATTTCATGTATATACCGTATTTTGTTTATCCATTCAACTGTAGGTGGGCACTTGGGTTGCATCCACCTTTTGGCAGCATTATTGTGAATAATGCTAATATGAACATGGCACCACTGTTTTACTCTCTGCATGAGAACAGTTTTTTTGGGGGTGGTATTATTGATGTTTAATCCCCTTCTTTTTTATATTTTTGATATATCTTTATTGTTGAAAGTATTACAGAAGTCCCTCCCCTTTTCCCCCACGTTGACATCCCCCTCCCCACTCCTGTCCCCCACTCTCCCCTCCCCCACCCCCACCTGTCACCTCACTGCTTTGTCGTCAGTGTCCATTGGTTATGCCTATATACATAGAAGTCCTTTGGTTTTTCTCTGAAAACATTCTTGATGTAAACAAATCAAGCAGTATCTAAGAGTATAGAGTAAAATGTTAAAATCCTCTCTCACCTTCCTCTCTCTTCTATCCTCCTTACTCTCTCGAGTAATACAGTTTATCCTTTCAGACGCTTGCACCCTTCCAGATGGTTTTCACACCTTTGCATACATATGTAGCATGTACACACACATATGCCGTAGGTGAGTCATCTGTGTTATATATGTTGTGCGATAACTTGCTTTGTTCACCTTACATGCCTCAGAACATGAATAGGTAGGTGCCTAATGTGATGGAAACTGTTGGCTGGTCCCCAATTCTTAACTGGGCAATAGCTGCCCAAAGAAAAGACTACTTGCTGCACATTCTTTTTTTTTTTTTCTCTTTTTTTCTCTTTATTGATCTCAGAGAGAGAGGCAGGGAGAGGGAGAGAGTGATAGAAACATCAATGAGAGAGAACATCAATTGGCCGCCTCCTGCATGCCCCCACTGGGGATCAGGCCCACAACCTGGGCATGTGCCCTGACCAGGAATTGAACCGACAACCTCCTGGTGCATGGGTTGATGCTCAACCACTGAACCACACCGGCCGGGCTGCTCCACATTCTTTGCAGTTAACTGTGGTCGTGTGATTAAGCTAGCCAATGTATAAGCAGATATGTGGTGTGTTCTAGATAGTTCATCTAAGACAAAGCTGACGCAAGTGTTGTCCCATCATCTCCCTTTCCTCCACCCTGCTGAAATGGATGTGATGGCTAGGTAGGATGGTTGGAGCTTCATCTTGGACCATGAGCCAGGGCCACAACCTGGTATGGCAGGGTGGAAGTGGAAAGAAACCTGGGTCCCTGAGGATTCTGTGGTGCAAGGCTACCTTCCTAGCCCTGAATAGCTTACCTATGGATCTGTGTGTGTGTGAAAGAAATAAACTTCTATTGTGTAAAGTCTTGTTATTTTGCTGCTGTTACTCAGGGCCAAACCTAATATTAAGTAATTTGTTTAAGCACTATCTTATTAAGGGACTTTCAGATTGTTTCCAACTTTCTATTATTAATAATGCTGAACCTGTTCTCATTTTTCTTTAGGATAAATTCCTTCAAATTTTGTCTGTTCCTTTTCATTGGATTTATTGAGGTTTAATGTACATATAGTAAAATTCATCTTAAGCATATAGTTCTATGAGTTTTGATAAATGCATAGTCAAGTAATCCCTGCCCCCCCAATCAAGATATGGAACAATACGTTACCCCTGCCCCCAACCCTCTCATATCCCTTTGAGGTCAACCTCTCCCGCAGCCCCAGCTCCAGGAAAATGCTGATCAGTTTACCATGTCTCTAATTTTGTCTATTCCAGAATGGCATATAGATGGAATTATATAGTATGCACCCCTGAGAAGTATTATGCAAATAATGTGAGAAAAGGAAGAGAAAGAAAAACAAATTCTAGCCTTTTTATGTTTTATTTTATTATTATTATTATTATTTTTTATCCTCACCCGAGGACATTTTTGCATTTATCTTCAGATAGAGTGGGAGGGAGACAGGGAGGAAGAGAGAAAGAGAGAAACATCAACATGAGAGAGACACATTTATTGGCTGGCACCCACACGACCCCAACCAGGGCCGGGGACAAACCGCAACAGAGGTACGTGCCCTTAGCAGGAACCGAACCCGGGAGTCTGGTCTGTGGGCCGACCCTCTAACCGCTGAGCCAAACTGGCCAGGGCTATTTTTAAGAATAGAAGCGAATGATTTCCTTGGGTTATTTAGACAGTGGAATTTTGCAAAGGCAGGCTTTTAAAAACAACAACCCTTTCCCCCTCATTATGGCGCTTTAGAAGGTACTCGCTGCTCCATTGTAATATTGCTTATTTTAGAGGATTTTTCTTCAACTGAGTGGACCTTCAGTGAAAGGACGTTGCTGAGTTGATCTAGCTCCTCGACCAATGCTTTAAAAAAAGTTTCTTCTTTTGACTCTAAAATAAAATAAATGAAAGTTTAGTGTTCATTCTTTTCATTCTTAACAGGTTGACATGCATTTCATTACAACGGGTAAGCTTTATAAAATGGTGTCTGCAAATTTGTAGTAAATAGAGATATTAATACTGTGTTTGAAGTCTCCACTTAGCAAGGCCTGGACTATTTTTCTTTTTTGCATTTACAGCTGTTTTTAGAGCCATGGGCGTTTGAAAGCATAAATGAAACATGGATTAAAACACGTGTCAATCCCTGGCCAGTTTGGCTCAGCGGTTGAGCGTCAGCCTGTGGACAAGAGAGACCCGGGTTCGGTTTCCGCTAGGGCACGTATCACCAAAAAAAAAACAAACAAAAAAACTCGTGTCAGGTAAGTACAGGCCTGGAGCAACGAATGTCTTTTTTTAAACACCAACTTGCCCTAGTTTTGTGGTTTATTTTTATTTTTATTATTCTTTAAATGTTTATTTTATTTGGTATGTGCCCCTAGCGGGAACTGAACCCGAGACTCTCTGGTCTGCAGGCCAACGCTCCAACTGCTGAGCCAAACTGGCCAGGGCTAGTTTTGTGGTTTAATATGAAGTAGCTCTACTATCAAAGCACTAAAACTGTGAAAATAATAGTTTCTAAGTAAAAAATGGGGATTGGTTTCCCATTTCAGTGATTTCATAATCACATCTGTTCTATAGGAATGTGAAATACAAATATTAAGAGCTGTCGTAATAAGTTACCCTTATCCCTTCACTCACTAGAACTAAACTTAGAAACACTTATTTAGCTTATAAATAAGTGACTTATTTAATACAATTGCTGCAGTTTAAAAGAGTTACAACAAGTAAAAACCCTTCTATACCTTTGACTTGATTTTTGGAATTTGCAGGCTCACACCCTTTTGCTTTGCAACATGTGGACTTACTTTTCCTGTAAAGAGAAGAGTAAATTATTGCATTTTCCCCCCCAGAGGGTGCGCATAAATAACCATGACTTGAGAATCAAAGTTTTAGAATTCTGGTTTCAATAAGATTCAAATTCTTGCGTTAAACAGACATTGGTAAGTTTTTCAATATAGTAAAATATAGTAAAAGAAGAGATTAGATGGATGTTTATGATCAGGAATTCCCTTATGACCACATATGATCTCTTTCATCAAGCAACATGGGAACTCCATGTTCTCATTCTGAATTTTCAGTCAAATACCTGGCCAATGAATGTGTTTGGTATGCCTACTGTGCGGAAGGTACTAGACTATATGCTGTAGAAAGTATAGAGTGAAGATACAAGCAGTTAACACTGCTGAAAATAAAATGAAGCATATGCAAGTAAAAAGTTACTTATAGCATGGCATTAAAGGTGCTGCGAGAGAAGTGAAAAAATGGGTGGTGTAATGAGCACTTCATTTGAAGGAGGGAGCAATCACTGTTGGGTTCTCATGAGTATATGCTGTCGAGGGCTGACATTAGCCTTGGAAGATGCAGAGATGCTACTAAGTCATGGTGTGACCATGGGCAAGCGTTGAGTAAGGCTGATGATTACCGAGTTCCTTTTGTGTGCAAGCCTCTTACGAGCACTTTACCTACCCAGTGAGGCACTATTATTAAAAGTATTTCAGCGTATGATTTTGGGGTCATTATAGTTTTACCAGTAAAGAAACTGGGGTTTAAAGAGCTGAAGCAGTGTGCTCAGGTTCACCCAGTGATGTCATTCGCATTCAGATCTGCAATTTTAGGACTGTTGCTCTTGGCTATCAAACTACTGGTGCCTTCTCCAAATAAATCTTCCTGTATCTCCATTGCTCACCTTCCAAGTGAGCACGTAATAAGCCACTCAATACAGGTTCAGGTAATAATAAAATAGAGTGTGTTATTATGAGAAATGTGCTTCACCACTAAATCCCAGAAAAAAACCTTTCCCCCTGGATTGAAGTAGATATTCAACGTTCCATCTTGAAATGTTCCATCTATAATTATGGATAAAAATATTTTACATACTTAGACATTTGATTTTTCTGCCTGTTTTCATTTTACTTGGATGCAGTAATACCTTTCTGAGGCCATGTACGGGTACAATCTTTAGAGCAGGACATTCTAAGATACAGTATTAGAATACACGGATGCTGAGAAAACCTAGTTGATGGGAGATTAATTTTTTCACAAGTTACTATTTACCTTCCTTCTCCGTCTATTAATGTGAAATAAGTTTCAATTTCTTTTTCTAATAATATTTTGATATCTAGAAGCTGTTCATACTCCAGCTTCTGGCCTTCTGTTTCCTTTCGGATCTGCTGGAGCTGTTCCTCCATCGCCCCGATCTGGTCCTGGATTTGCTGGAGTTGACGGCAGTAATAGCCTTCGGTCTCTGCCAAGGAGCAGCTGTAGGAATGTTTCTGAAAGGAGAACAAAGCAAGGCTTGCCCGTGGAACCCATAAATAACACATTCTTATTTTAAACATTCTCAAGGTAGAAAGAAATACTTGTACGGGGGTCTAAATCTTTTCAATTGTTTTTCTTGTCATTGAAAAAAAGTTTCTTTTTAAAGAAAATTTTAGGGTTGACATGTCAGAAGTAATGTTTATGAACAAAATTCTTGCTATTTAATATATTTTATATTTTCAGTTATATACACTTAATTTTGTTATATAGTGTATGTGTTTACTTTTACACACCCACACAGATATTCAAATCAGTGGTGATTCCTACAAACCGTAGCCATGAGGGACTGGAGTTCTATTTCCAAGGTTTGTAGACCGCGTTTCAGTTCCATCAGCTCATTTCTGGCCACTGTGGCTGCTCCCGCATCGTCAGAAATCTGCTGTTGCAGCATAGCACTCTGAAGCATAATTGTCAGAAGGGTTAATGACCAAGCCTGGCGGTCCACTGAACAAGCAAGCCCTTGGCATGTGATTTACCCCAGAGGTACCTTCTCGTTAAACCAAGCCTCAGCCTCTTTGTGGTTCTGCTTGGCCAAGTCCTCATACTCAGCCCTCATGTTGTTCAGCAGAACTGTTAGGTCCACTCCTGGGACTGCATTCATCTCCACATTCACGTTCCCCCCTGCTGCCCACTGCAGAACCTCCATTTCCTGGAAAGGGGATCCGTGTTGATGTTCAAAGTAGACTTTCAAGAATCACACTGCTCTGAAATGAACAGTGAACTGGAGGGGGGAAAGTCTGATACTATACAAAGCCACCCTGCAGTGTCCTTACCTCCTTGTGATTATTTTTGAGGTATGTCAACTTCTCACTGAGTGTTTCCCACTGTATCTCCAGGTTGGTTGTACAAAGGGTCAAGTCATCCATCACTCTGCACAGACCATTGATGTCGGCCTCTATGCTCTGGTGCAGAGCAAGCTCATTTTCATACCTGAAAGGTGATTAAAGAGCTTGAGAAGTATAATTGTAGGCAGCTGCAAAGGGTACCTTCTTCAGACATTTCATGTCCTGAAAGATGCGATGTCTGTGCATAATGCTGGAGTTGACTGCAATGGCAAAGTGATGAGTCACCTTGGAATTCCTACTGATCTGTGAGTATTATTTTGGAGGAGTTGTTTTTCTGTCATCCAAATATGCTTAACAATAGAATAAAAAATATTAACAATAGAATTAACAATAGAATTAAAAGTATGCTTTAGCCCTGGCCAATTTGACTCAGCAGTGTTGGCCCTTGGACCAAAGAGTCGCGGGTTTGATTCCTGGTCAAGAGCATGTACCTCGGTTGCAGGTTCAATCCCTGGCCCTGGTTGGGGCATGTGTAGGAGGCAACCAACCAATGTCTCTCACATTGATGATTCTCCCTTTCCCTCCCTCCCTCCACTCAACCAAAAAAAAAATCAATGGAAAAATATCCTTGGGGGAGGATTAAAAAAAATTGTTTAAAATTTATGATGGCTTTTTTTTTTTTTTTATAAGGACACATTTAATTTCTTCAGTGATCTAGTCTGACTTTATAAAAACATTGTCTTTAAAGCAAAAGATATGTTCTTTGTTCCAAATGTAGTATTTTTACCTTTATTATAATGAATGACTTCATTTTTACCTACTTCAGCCTGAAGTCATCAGCGGTCAGTCTGGCACTGTCATTCCGTAGAACAATGCTGGTATTACAGGTGCTCACAGAAATGATCTAAACAGGGTAGATTACACAAAATGTTAAGTTCCAAAAGTCAAGGAAGACATCAGATTTAAGTGTGGCTCTTATCTTTTTAACCCATCAAGCATCTTTAATGTACAATTTTTCTACATTAAAGGAATCTGGATTTTCCTCTGATAATAAATGTCTAGAACTTCAGAGCCAAAATGTAAGTTTTATAATCATGAATACTTTTATTATTCTTGATTAAAAAGTATGAGCTGAATATAAGATCAACCAAGTAATTATATGTATTTTAAAGCCCCCAAGCATAGGAATATAAATTCTACGTCATATACATTTGCTAAGCACATTTGCTAATATGTCTTTTTTAGATTATGGACAACCCAAGTCTATAGTAAAAGTATGCAAATCCATATTTCTTACCTGCCTTTTGAGATCTTCAATGATTGAAGAATATCTACTGTAGTCATGATCTAGTTGCTGGCAAGAACCAGGCCCGTATTTCTCATACCAGCCCTTGATTTTCTGCTCCAGGTCTGTGTTTGCTTCCTCCAGAGCTCGCACATGGTCCAGGTAGGAGGCCAGGCGGTCGTTGAGGTTCTGCATGGTCACCTTTTCATTCCCAGAGAGGAGGCCATGCTCATTGCCAAGAAAACCAGCACAGATCCCGCTTCCCAACCCTCCACCACCGCTATAGAAACCTCCCCCAGGAGAAACGCCCCCAAAAGAACAAGAAAAGCTGCTTCCTGCTCCCGACCCACTGCACACATTCCCAGCCCCCAAGCCGGTTCCTCCACCAGACAGCCGGCCAGAGCCAGCTCGAGAGCAGATGCGCCTAGATCCACTAGAAAGTCGAAAGGACATGGCGACAGCACAGCTCAGCGACCCTTTCTCAGAGAGGAGCAAAGCCAAAGTACACCACCCACAGTAGTTAGTCCCATTGGCCTTTTATAGGATTCAGTAAGTCATTTCAGTGTTAACTGTGCTGATTTGTAATAAATTATTACTCACGCTCTAATTGTTGTTTTTCATAATTGGGTGATTATCAATACTGTCCAGTCTGTAGGCGAAAAAGTGCCCAAGGGTATCCTTATATATGAAAAGATGCCAGGTGGAGGAATACTGAGTCAGTTTCCAAGGTCAAACTTAAATATGAGTAGACATGTACAGCCTTTTGACCTCTGGAATAGATCCCAGTTTTCCCCCCTCTATATAACAAAAATGTAATAAGTCAAATGAGAAAAGTCTACTGCTTTTGTTCTGCAAATGCGTATGGAGTATCTCCGTTTTTCATGCTTTATTGAGTGTTTTCTTTCTTCTCAAAATCAGATACTCTCAATAGGTAGTGATCCTTTGGTGGTGTGAGTTTTTAAATTGATTTTTTAAAAACTGAAAACTGGAACAATAGAAGACCTGCAGTAGTACTTTTGCTTATCAATTTAATTAAAAAGAATGAATATGTGGCCCTGACAGAAAGTTATTTGTGTTGAGATTTCTTGGTTGAGTCCAGGATCAGAATGTCCATTCAACTAACTTCTGAGTCTCCAAATTGTTCATTTTTCTACCTCAAAAATATGCTTTACTGCCATTTAGTTTAAATTTCTACATTTAAGGCATTAGGAATTATTTTGAGAAGTGATTATCAATTTTCATATTGATGAGTAGGGAGTTAAATAGATGGAGAGAGGTGTTTTCATTATTACCTAGAAAGCCAGTAATTTTGTACTCTAAATGGAAGATTAGTTGTCATAAAAACAGACTTTTCATTCTTTTGCCTTGATGCCCATCAGAAGTTAACCTGTCTGGTTGAGCTTCATTTCCCTATCAGACAAATGAAAATAATAATGTTGAATAGTCTCAAATGAATGTTGAGCCATTCCAATAATTAATGACTATAAAACAGTGTGAAGGGCACACACATTTTATAAATGTTAATTACTTAAATTATTATAATAAAGTGGCCATGTCAGAAGGGTCAGGTCTCTATCATTTATAATGGTACAAATTGGTCGACTAATTATGGGTTTGTAGAGTTTTGAAACAGTGATCTTTTTCTGAGTGAGATTTTTTTCAAGGTCGTGGATATTGACTAATTTGAAAACCTCCAGCATTATTATCCCTAAAAGATATGGAATATTGGGTGGCCCAGAATGTATGGATTTTTTTGACCAAAATATTGTAAGATAATTAGCAGAAAACTGTGATTCAGGCCACTTGCACTTGTGTAGAGCATGTGTGAGGAGTGAAGAGAAGCAGCTCATATTCAGAGACTAGTTTCTGATTTTGTTGTGACCTGATCAAAATTAAAAACAACACATTTTTTTCTTTATTGATTTTAGAGAGAGAGGAAGGGAAAGGGAGAGAGAGATAGAAACATCGATGAGAGAGAACATCGACTGGCCACCTCCTGCACGCCCCTCTCTGGGGATTTGGCCCACAACCTGGACATGTGCCCTGACCAGGAATCGAACTGGTGACCTCTTGGTGCTCAACTACTGAGCCACACTGGCTGGGCCTGGTCAAAATTTTAATCTTTTGCTCATATCTTCCATGGATAAAACAAGAAAAACAGAGTATTTTGTTAGTGTAATAGCTTATAACTCTTGAGTTTCTCGGATAAGAAATATTATGAGACTGCAAAGTATTATTAACATAAACTACTGATCTCTAGATATTTTATAAATAATAATTAACTTGCAATCTTTTGTGAAATAAGTTAAGCATATATTATTAGAACCATTTTGGAGATGAGTTGACTCTGAAGCTAAGTGGCAACACATCACAAAACATTTTTATGTCAAAGCAGGACTAGAATGGATGATGTTTAACTCCTCAAAATGTTGGCATCTCTTATTCCTAAGGGTAACTCGCTTGACTTTTCTTAATCATAAATTTCTTCTAAACTTGTAGTTTAGCTTTAGTCCTTTCTGGAAGAAGGAGATAGACTTAACAAATTCTCTAGGCCATTTCTAATCATGTATTTCTTCCCTGAGAATGGTTATTTTATTTATGATATATGTATTCAGCCACACACATTCTCATTTTTTCAGAATCTATTAGGTATTGGAACATTCATTATATAGCGTGCATATCATATTTGAATTAAACTTTAAGTGATGCAGTGTTAATGTCTGCTTATTTCATTGTGTCATCTGGTTCTAATGATCAGACACTAATTTTCCCCCCAATAAATTTAGCATTTAGCTTCAAATGTGCTTCACTATCTTTTGCCATTATTTAAAATTCACATTCTATGTTTGTTAGCTGGATTTAGAAATGTATTTTTTAAAATATGAATGACATTTGTTTTGTTACTAGATTTCTAGTTTTTTTTTTTTCTTCCCCCGAGAACCAGATTATGGTGTGCTAATTCCTTCCACAAAGTGGCTTCCATGGTTTGTTTGGGAAGGAGACGCTGAACCCTTGCTTAATCTCAGACTAATTGGAGTTAGAATGCACTTAGTTGTTTTTATCCCTTCTCTTGCTAGAGGGAAGGTAGAATCATGAGGTTCTCACCAGCATGGTGCTGTGTTGTGGTTCGCAGACCAGTCCTGAGCCAGACTACCTGGATTAGCATTCCAGCAACGTGACCTCGGACAATTTACTCAGCCGCTCTCTGCCTCAGTTACTCTATCTGTTAAAAGAGGATGATAATAGTACGTACCTCGTAGGGTTGCTGTGAGGATTAAATGATCTTTAGAATAGAGTCCTACATGTAGTAAGTGCTGGGTACCACTATCATGGATTCTTTCCTGGAAGCTATATTACAAAGTCCTAAATATATTTTTGTTTTTCTTACCTGTTGCTTTTGGTGTCAAATCTAAGAAATCATTGCCCAGATCAGTGTCAAGAAGCCTTCTCCTATGCTTTCTTTGAGGAGTTTTACAGTTTCAGGTCTTATGTTTAGGTTTTTAATTCATTTTAGTTAATTTTTGTGTGTAGTGTGTGATAGGAGTCCAATTTCATTCTTTTTTACATGTGGCTATGCAGTTTTCCCAACACCATTTGTTGAAGAGACTATCCTTTCCTATTGTGTATTCTTAACCCCCTTGTTAAAGTTCAATTGGCCGAATATGCATAGGTTTATTTCTGGGCTCTTTATTCTGTTCCATTAGTCTCTGTCTGCCCCCCACCCCCATTATTATTGTTGTAAACTAAACAGGACATAAAATTACCATCATAACCTTTTAAAGTGTACAATTCAGTGGTATTAAATACATCCATAATTTTGTGCAACCACTACCCATTTCCATAACTCTTTTCATCTTGTAAAACTGAAATTCTATATTCATTAAACAGTAACTCATCATTCCTTTTTCTCCCATCTCCTGGCAACCACCATTCTACTTTCTCCCTTATTGAGGAACTGCCATACTGTTTTTTTCAGCAGCTATACCACGTTACATCCCCATCAACAGTGCCTAAGGGTTCTATTGTTTTACATCCTTGCCCAATACTTGTTACTTTCTATTTTTTTTCATAGTGGCCATCAGAATGGGTGTAAGGTGGCATCTCGTGGTTTTAATTTGCATTTTCTTAATGGCATCTTTTCATGTGTTTATTGGCCATTTTTACATCTTTCATACTGGTTTAATAACTGTAGCTTTGTAATATATTTGAACCCAGGAAGTGTGATGTGTTCTTTCTCAAAATGGCTTTGGCTATTCAGGGTCTTTTGTTTTTTCCCTATGAATTTTAGAATGTTTTCTTCTTCTTTTTTTTACTATTCTAAATCCCATTTGAAATTTCATAGGATTGCATTGACTCTGTAGATTGCTTTGGTAGTATGGACAATAATTCATCCAGTTAATGAATATGAGATGTCTTTCCATTTATTTGTGCCTGCTTTAATTTCTTTCATCAGTGTTTTATATTTTTATATTTACAAGTCTCTCACCTCCTTGGTTAAGTTTATTCTTAAGTATTTTATTTTATCTTTTTTGATGCTATTGTAAATGAGATTGTTTTCTTAATGTCCTTTTTGGATAATTTGTTGTAAGTGTATAGAAATGCAACTTTTAAAAATGGTTGATTTGTATACTGAAACTTTGCTGAATTTGTTTATTAGTTCTAACAATTTATTTTTTGGGGTCTCTAAGTTTTCTATATATAACATCATGCCTTTTAATTATGGTGGCTTTTATTATGTTTTCTTGCATAATTGCTCTGGCTAGGACTTCTAGTAATGTAGTGAATAAAAGCGACAAGAGTGAAAATTCCCTTTGGAAAAAAAAAGAGTGAATGTTCTTGTCTTGTCCTGATATTGAGGAAAACCTTTCAGTTTTTCACCATTGATTAAGATATTGTCTGTAGGATTGTCATATATGGCCCTTATTATGTTGAGGTACATTCCTACTATACCTAATTTATTGACTATTTTTATCATAAAAAGGTGTTGAATTTTCTCAAATGCTTTTTCTGTATCTATTGATATGAACACATGATTTTTATCAATATATCACATTTATTGATTTGTCTATGTTGAACCATTCTTCCATCCCAGAAATAAATCCTACTTGATCATGGTATATGATCCTTTTAATGTGTTATTGAACTTGGTTTGCCAGGACTTTTTTGAAGATTTTTGCATCTATGTGTATTTTGCATCTATGTGAATATTGATGTGTAATTTTCTTTTCCTATAGTGTCTTTGACTTTGTTATCAGAGTAATGCTGGCCTTATAAAATGAATTTAGAAGTGTTCCCCCCTCCTCAATTTTTTGGAAGAGTTAGAGACGGATTGCTATTAATTATTTTTTGAGTGGTTGAATTTTCTGATGAGACCACCTGGTCCTACTCTTCCCTTTGTTGAGATTTTTTTTGCATATAATGTTGTAGTATTCTCATATGATCTTTTGTATTTCTGGCATCAGTTGTAAAGTCTCTTCTTTTATTTATAATTTTATTTATTTGAGTCCTCTCTTTTTTCTTAGTTAGTCTATCTAAAAATTTGTCAATTTTTATCTCTTCAAAAAACCAATTCTTAGCTTTGTTGATCTTTTCTATTATTTTTCTAGGCTCTATTTTATTTATTTCTGCTCAGGTCTTCATTACTTTCTTCTTTTTGCTAACCTTGGTTAGTCTCTTCTTTTTTTAATTCCTTATGTATAAAGTTAGATTGTTTATTTGCAATTTTTCTTCTTTCTTTCCTTAAATGTAAACATTTTTTATTTTATTTATTTATTTATTTATTTATTTATTTATTTATTTATTTTTTTATTTATATTTTTCATCCTCACTCAAGGACACCTTTCCATTCTCTGTTCAGATAGCGTGGGAGGGAGAGAGAGCAAGAGAGAAACATCAATGTGAAAGGGATACATCGAGTGGTTGCCACACTCACGACCCAACTAGGGCCAGGGAAAAACTGCAACGGAGGTACGTGCCCTTAGTGGTAACCGAACCCGGGTCTCTCTGGACCACAGGCTGACGCTCTAACCACTGAGCAAAACTGGCCAGGGCAACATTTTGTATTGCATTTACTGGGGTGACATTATTTAATAAAATCATATAGGTTTTAGGTGTACAACTCTATGACACATCATCTGTATATTGTATTGTGTGTTCACCACTCCAAGTCAAGTCTCTTTCCATCACTACTTATTCCCCCTATACCCCTCTCCCTCCCACTCCTCTCTGACAATCACCATGCTGTTGTCTGTGTCTATGAGTTTTGTTTGTTTGTTTTGGCTTAATCTCTTCACCTTTTTCACCCAGCCCCGCTACACCCTCCCTGCTCTGACAGCTACCAGTTTGCTTGCTATCTATGAGTCTTTTTCTATTTTGTTTGTTAATTTTGTTCATTAGATTCCACATATGAGTGAAATCATATGGTACTTGTCTTTCTTTGACTGGCTTATTTAACTTAGCATAATGCTGTCCAGGTCCATCCATGCTATTGCAAAGGGTAAGATTTCCTTCTTTTTTATGGCCAAGTGTGAATGTACCGCAGCTTTTTTATCCACTCATCTACTGATGGACATTTGGGCTGCTTCCAAATCTTGGCTACTGTATATAATGCTGTAATAAACACAAGGGTGCATATACTCTTTTGAATTAGTATTTTGGAAGGCAGTTCCATTTTTAATTTTCTGAGGTAACTCCATACTGCTTTCCACAGCGGCTGCACCAATCTGCATCCCCACCAACAGTGCACGAGGGTTCTCTTTCCTTCACATCTTGGCCAGCACTTGCTATTTGTTGATTTATTGATGATAACCATTCTGATAGGTGGGAAGTGATATCTAGTGGTGGTTTTTATTTACATACCTCTGACGACTAGTGACATCAAGCATCTTTTCATGTCTATTGGCCATTTGCATGTCCTTTTTGCAGAAGTGTTTATTCAAATCCTTTGCTCATAGTCCCATATGTTTATTTCTTCTTTTGTTTGCCTTGAATCTATCAGAAAAAGTCTTGCTATGAGGAATGTCCAAGATTTTCTTGCCAATGTTTTCTGTTCAGCTAGTCTTTGGTTGGTTATTCAGCTTGATTGTTCTATATTTTAGTGGTCATTCCAGTTTGGTCCTGGGAGGAGGTGAGTGTAGCTTCCACCTACTCTGTCTCCCCCATGGCTCTCTCAGTCTTTCATCTTTCTTTTTATTTTATTTTATTAAGTGTATCTTTTTTTTTTTAATCCTCACCTGAAGACATTTTTCCATTTTTTGTTCAGATAGAGTGGGAGGGAGAGAGAGAGAGAAACTTCGACGTGAAAGGGACACATCGAGTGGCTGCCACCCGCATGACCAACCAGGGTCGGGGACAAACTGCAACCGAGGTATATGCCCTTAGCGGGAACCGAACCTGGGTCTTTCTGAACCGCAGGCTGATGCTCTAACCGCTGAGCCAAACCGGCCAGGGCTTAAGTATATCTTTATTGTTGGAAATATTAGAGATGTCCCTCCTTTGTTCCCCCACTGACACCCTCCTCCCCACTCCTGCTCTGCTCTGCTCTATTGTCCGCATCCACTGGTTATGCATATATGCATATAAGTTCTTTGGTTTATCTTTTCCGCCCCACTTCCTCCCCTAATCTTTCTTAAGGCAGGCAATTATCACTATAAAGTTTCCTCTTAATTCTGCTTTTGCTGTATCCCCTAAGTTTTGGTATATTGAATTTTTCATTTTCATTTGTCTCAATGTATTTTTCTATTTCCTTTTTGATTTCTTTGATCTGTTAGTTGCTAAGAAGTATGTTGTTCAATTTCTATATATTTCTGAATATTCCTCCTATTATTTATTTCTAGTTTTATACTATTGTGGTAAAAAAAAGATGCTTGTTATGATATCAGTTTTCTTAAACTTGTTAAGGCTTGTTTTGTGGCCTAACATTGTGGAATTGACCACATGCCTCATGTAGTCCTCACATCTCTCTCTTTTCCCTTCTACCTTCAAATATCACCATTTACAATCTTGTCTTCATTTTTAGGATATTTCTGATTCTGCAGTTCCTTATTTCCACTTCTATGAGCATGTTGCACTTAGGGATTAGATTCTGTTAACTGGTTTATTCTCATTACCAGCACTTAGTGTGTGCTTAATAAGTATTTACAGAAGGAAGAAAAATGTTAAATTTTACAGAAATGTGAAGAAGATTCCAACTAGTCTTCCTGTTAAATTTACTCCTAACCTGTGAAGGCCATTGAATTAAACAGAAGAAATTAAAAACAAAATTCAGCTCTAGTTGCGGGTGACGTTTACAATGCAAAGATTGACCAGAACCAGTGAAGATGACTTGCAACAGGAAAACTTTTATTGAAACACCACCATAGAGAAAGCCAAAGAAATGATACTATTCTAAAAATAGTTTGTCTTAATTCACTGGAAGAAAAACAGAAAAGTTAAGAGGGCCCTTTTTAAGGAATCTAACTTCAATTTGATATTTTAATTTAAGGTCATTCTTTTGGGGTTCAGGAGGGCACTCTCTGTTCACTCTTCGTGTTGTTGACTTTCGTGGATTTCTCTTCCATGCTGTGAACTCTGGATGAGAGAACTTTGCCACGAGGATCTATTTCTTCAACAATTGTTTTCACCACAGCGCCTTTAGATGAATCTAAAATGACACATATGAATTGCTACAATTTATCAAATTCATACAGAGGAAATAATTAACTCATCATTTGGAACATATACAAATAAACACTGAATGCTCAACACTACGTTTGTTTACCTTTTATCTGATTTCCTGGTCCTTTGCAGCCTTTTGATTTAACACAAGAGCTGTAAAAATATACAGAGTTCGTATTAATTATTTCATTCTGATGTTTGCTAAGAAAACTGAAAATTATTGATTTAAGGTGGGAGAGCACTGGATTCTTAAATAACAATAGAAGGGGTTTAGGTACACATGATATAGGTCATAGACACTTTGTACTTGATTTCAAAAAATCTTTAATAACCTTGAAATAAATTGTTTTGTCAATGGAAGCAGTACTTACCCATCCTCTCCATCTATCAGGCGGCAGTAGGTCTCGATTTCTTTTTCCAGGTGGACCTTGATGTCCAGGAGCTGCTCGTACTCGAGTTTCTGGCCCTCGGTCTCGGTTCTGACCTGGTGCAGCTGCTCCTCCAGGGCCCCGATCTGAGCCTGGATCTGGGCCAGCTGCGCACAGTAGTTGCCTTCTGTTTCAGTCAAGGAGCACTCCAGGGAGTGTTTCTGAGGATCAGTAAGAGAGTTTAGTAGAAAATGTCACAATGTTGTTTTAGTAAGGCAAAGCACACAGATATATAAGAGATTATCCTTACATAATGCAAATAACAATATTTACCCAAAAGATTCCACTTGTTCAATATTTGTTGTTGCCTTTATTATATGCCATGCTATTTTTATCTTTGAGAATAACACAGTTGATGAGGAATGTTACTCATATGCCTAGGAGTGTTAGCAAAGATGAAGTTGTTTCCTCATAGAGCAAAGTGTAAAGATCCCCTCTTCCCCCAAATATAGCCTGTGCTTATAGAATCTGACACAATTTGTCACTTTCCCCTGGAATAAAAGCCCCCCTAAACTTTGCTACCTCATTTCTAATCATGTAGCAGCCTTGTCTCATGAGGACTGCAGCTCTTCTATTAAAAAATAACCCTGTAGCTGGACCAGTGTGGCTCAGTGGGTTGAGCATTATCCCACACACCAAGAGGTCACTGGTTTGATTCCCCATCAGGGCACATGCCCAGCTTTCGGGCTTGATCCCAAGTAGGGGGCATGCAGGAGGCAGCTGATTGATGTTTCTTTCTCATCCATGTTTCTATTTCTCCCTCTCCCTTCCTTTCTCTCTAAAAATCAATAAAAACATATTTTAAAAATAATCCTGTAGTGAACTCCATATACTTTCCAGAATTAGAGTGACCCAAAGAAAAGCATGACCTTTTTTGGCTTTAAATCCTTTGATTCATTTGCTTGTGAATCCACATGGGTTTATATAGGGTTTATCCCACAGAGGGATGCTTGCTGTAATTTTACATGCAATAAAGACGAGAATGTCTTATCCTCACATCTACAAGAATTTTTATGAAAAGTCCTAATTTTATATACATTTATAGCCTCTTTGGTGGGTAAATTTGGAGGCTTACTAGCCATTGTGGAAAAAAGTATAGACTTGGGAATTCGAAAATCTGGCAAGAAGTTATGGTTCTTTTGTATCCAACTGTGGGACTTTGGAAAAACCGCTTAACTTCTTTGAATCTCAGATTCTTCTTTTGGAAATAATGACATGAATTATAAAGTCTGCCCTGCCCAAGCCTGTGGACTCATGTGGGTGAAAATGCTGGGCAAACCCTTAATAAGTGAGGTTATTATCATCATCAAGCATGTTTAGCTTGGTAGACAACCTTCATGCCTTTACTTTGCTTCCTGTTTGTGCCACTTAAAAAGGCTCTGGTAAGTGCTTTTAATTAAGTAGCCAAAGGAATGCTAGATAAAGAAGCTAGAAGTATTTTTGTCCTCCATGGACAGTGGTTTCCGATCTTTGACTTGGGAGAGAAGATACAGGGTAAACACGATTTCTTTCTCGAGTCCCTCAAAATAATTGTATTTGCTAATTTCTAATGTTTTATAATAATTAGCAGCTAGGTATACTTTTCAGGCAAAGAGGATTTTACTGTGCAAAATGCAAATGTGCCTTATTTCAAGTACGGTAATTAGTGGATACAAATGAAAATAAGTACTATCATGTGGGAGAAAAGCCTCTTGGAACTTTTTCTGACCTTCTAAAGCAATTTTGGGGGGTAATCTTGACTTACCATTGCTAAGAGGGACTGAAGTTCAATCTCCAGGGTTTGAAGAGTGCGCTTCATCTCAGTGAGTTCGTTTCGAGCCGAGGTGGTGGCACCAGCATCGTCAGAGATCTGCTGCTGCAGCGAGGCGCTCTGAAACGTTGGGAGTCCTGTTAGGGTGATGCTGGGTCAGCACCCAGGGCCAGGTGGGCGCGCCCTAGCGTGGCCTCACCTTCTCGTTGAACCAGGCCTCCGCATCCCGGCGGTTCTGCTCCGCAAGGTCTTCGTACTCAGCGCGCATGTTGTTCAGCAGAACCGTGAGGTCCACGCCGGGTGCCGCGTTCATCTCCACGTTCACGTTGCCCCCCGCGGCGCACTGCAGAGCCTGCATCTCCTGGAAGAATTAACCGCGTTAGTGAGGATCTGGATACTTTTCAAGGAGCCAGACAGACGTGATCCGCATAGTTAGACACTTTCAAAAAAGTGTTCGTTTCTTTGGAGGGGGGGGCGGGGCGAGTGAAAACATTTTAAACAACCTAAGCCATATGGAGAAACTGACAAGTTCCTTCTTGAAATTGACTTAAGGCATTACAACTGAAATTCATTTTTTAGAAACTGGGAGGAAGGCGGATTGTAGAATGCGGGGAGAAAGGGCGTCTACCTCCTCGTGGTTCTTCTTGAGATAAGTCAGCTCCTCGCTCAGCGTCTCCAGCTGGATCTCCAGGTCGGTTCTGCAGAGACTCAGCTCATCCAGGACCCTGCGCAGACTGCTGACGTCCGCGTCCACGCTCTGGTGAAGGGCCTGCTCGTTTTCAAACCTTGGGACAGGTTTGCAAGTTTTATCGCATTAGTCACATCAGTTTCTAAGTCATCATAAAACTCAACTAAGTTTTGAGGTCAAGCTGTAAAAATATACTCAAAACTTCAGTTAGATCGCCCATAATGCGATACATCAATTTCTCTGAAGCAAGGGAATGGAAATAGACAAAATCCTCTTTCACCTGATCTTGACATTCATTGGTGTCAGCGTCCAAATTTTCCAAATAAAATATATAATTCAGCTAGTTATTCTAATACCCATTTAGTTGAAAACAAAGAATTGGGCCAACCTCAAATAGTCTAAAAAGAGTGAAATACTCAGATAACCTTTTTTTTGGTTTCTCTTCAGCTCCACTTACTTTAGCCTGAAGTCATCAGCTGTTAGTCTGGCATTATCATTTTGCAGGACAACACTGGCGTTACTTGTAGTTGCAGAAATTATCTGATAAATGGAGAATTAGTGAAGAGTGAGGAAACACTTTTGAAAATGTCAAATTTCCTTGAAAGAAGTCACCTATAAAATAATAGGAACATTCCTGGCATTCTGTCTCCGATAATGATTCTTTTGAAAATGGGAAATTGAAGTATGACTTTTTTTTATTCTCCACCCCACCCCTAAAAAACAAAATAAAAAAACAAACAAAACCTCTTTCTATGGAAAAGCTTATAAATACGTAACTAGAGACATTGGGCAGTTTTTGATATTTTGATATTATTCAAAGCATCAACATGCATACCTCATACTAGATACTACGTGAGACATGTTCAAAGATGAGAATTTTAATATAAATTATTTTTAATATTAATAATGAAGTACTGAAAATTAGAAGCTGAGAACAAAGGCCTGCTTCTTCTGTGTGACTGCTTATGCATTTGTGAGTGTGTAGATGTGGCTAAATACTCTGGTGGATCTTAACCCTCATGACATTGTGTTTCTTACCTGGTTCCTAAGGTCATCAATTATTGGAAAGTATCTGCTGTAATCATGATCAAGACCACGGCAAGAACCAGGCCCAAATTTCTCGTACCACCCTTTGATCTTCTGCTCCAAGTCTGCATTGGCCTCCTCTAGGGCTCGCACATTCTCCAGGTAGGAGGCCAAGCGGTCGTTGAGGTTCTGCATAGTCACCTTCTCATTGCCAGAGAGGAGGCCGTGTTCATTCCCAAGGAAGGCAGCGCAGGATGCACTGCCCCCGCCCAGTCCTGCGCCATAGCTTCCTCCAGATGAGTTGCTCCCAAAGGCGCAAGAGAAGCCACTTCCAATGCCGGGCACACCACACGTGTTTCCAGCCCCAAAGCCAGCTCCCCCACTAGATAGCCTCACAGAGCCCACGCCCCCGCAAGAGCCCAGGCGTCTGGATGCAGAAGAAAAGCGCACAGACATGATGTCCAGACTGGAGCACTTGTGCCTGGAATGAGGCTCTGATGGCGAATGTCCTGCTCAGACAGTTCGGTTTGTCTTTATATACACATTATCAGGGTGTTTCTCCATGAACCTTGCTACCCATAGTAAAATGGTGCTTGCCAGCTCATCGTGAATTATTCATAATTGGGTGATTTTTTTTTTTTTAATGAATGTCTTTACCCTACTGTGTCCATTTCTGTAGGTGGATAGTTACCTTGGGGTCATATGTTATCTCCAAAATGGGACAGGGAGGAGTATTATCAAGATTATTATAGTAATGCATTTCAAATTTAGTATGAGTAAGTCTTCCTGTCTTCTAGGCTTCAGGAGTATAGCATTCCAAAAGAATAAAAAAGTGTGATAGACAAATTTCTCTTTCTCTTTATTAACAAACAACGCTGCATTCCCCCTCCCCCCAGCAAGTGAGGTATTATATTTATGGTTTTCTATGGATAATATGATCTTTCAAATATGTTAAAAATAATTTCAAGACCCTGGGTTCATGGTACCAGAAGAAGGTGGCCATGTCTTAAGTGGACATTGAAGAATTAATGGCCTCTACTTTGACCCCATCTGTCCTGAGTTACTGTTTCATCTTTACTGGTTTTCTGTCTAAACTCTGTTGCTAACCAGGTTAACTAAAGGTTTTGGTTAACCTGTCTGGAGCTCAGTCTCCTCATCTGTAGAATGAAGGGATTAGACTATGGCTTGTATGTTCTCTTCTATTTCTAATATTTTTACATTTCTTTCTTTTATTATTTCTAGAAAAATTTTTTTCATTCACTTCCTCCACTTTTCACTTCCTATTCACTCCTGAATTTTGGTTACTAATTACCCCACATCTCCAATCCAGTCATCATTTCGCTTATCTTTCCTTCTACATCCTCTTAGACACATATGATACAAAACACCCCAGTTTTACTGAGTTTTCAACAATTGCTTTCTGAGAACACTTCTGTTTTCTCTGTTTGCACCTCTTCTTTCTTCCATCCATAGTTTCTCGCTCTAAAATTTTCCATTCCTTACAGTTTTGTGCTTGGTGCTCCTCTTTTGTACATACTCTTCCTTGGTGATCTCATCACTTCTTGGCTCCAAGTTCATGTTCTAAATATACGTCTTCAGCACTGACCTTTTCCCCTTTCTGGACCCACTCCTTACTCTACCCTCCAGTCATTTCTACTTGGATATTCTGTCTTGACTTTCAACTCAGCACACAATTACTTTGGCATCAAAATTTGATCTTTTGTGTCTTCCTTCGTTAGTTGCTGGTGGAATTACTGTGAGTCATGCCCAAGATTACTAAGAAATCTCTAACTGTTGTAATTTTCTACTAACTCACATCCAATAAGTCAGTAGGTCCTATTGAATGTACTTCTGTAGTGTCTCTTGAAGCATTTTTCTTTCCCTTATCACTGTCATTTTCTTTCAGCTCAGTTAGTAGAACCTTAATTGGATTTCTGGTTGCAAGTCTTTTCTTTCCATCATGGTCATTAAGGCTTAATGATTAAGTAGTTGGGTGCCAAGGTATTGTTCCTGAAGTACACCACCATTAATGAAAGAACCTGGACTCTTTAATCAGATACATCAGCATTCATATCCCAGTTCTGCCATTTTCTAATTGTGGGGCCAATCCAAAGTTTATTCACTCTGACCTTTGGTTTTTCATCTCTAAGATAGAGACATTAGTACTTGTATGTTGTGAGGTTACTAAATGGTAGTTTACGCCCTGGCTGGTTTGGCTCAGCGGTTAGAGCGTCGGCCTGCGGTCTGGAGAGACCCGGGTTCGGTTCCCACTAAGGGCATGTACTTCGGTTGCAGTTTGTCCCCGGCCCTGGTTGGGTTGCGCGGGAGACAGCCACTCAATGTGTCCCTTTCATGTCGATGTTTCTCTCTCTCTCTCTCTTCTTCTCTCTCCCTCCCACTCTGTCTGAATAAAAAATGGGAAAATGTCCTTGAGAGAGGATAAAAAAAAAAAAGACTAAATGGTAGCTTAAACATGTAAAGCAACTATGCTTGTCAATACTACGTAGTCAGTAAGTGTTTCCCTCCTTTCTTCATTCTCTTCCAGTTTAAAATCCTTTGCCTGAAATTTAAGACTCCTTTTCATGTAGATTCCACTTAACTTACTTGTCTATTCTTTTCTTTTACTACTCTCCTTCCCTCCCCTTTTTGTCTTTGTTCATGCTGTTCTCTCCATTTGAGATTATTTGACATCTTGGCTGAGAATGACTGACATCAGTTTCATTTATGTAGATTGAAAATTAAGTTGCTGGATATATAAATTTTCATGACCTCATAAGTGAATTTTCAGAAAAGCCAGAAAAATCATTGTTCGATCAAGAAACCACATTAAGCCCTGGCTGGTTTGGCCCATTGGTTTTCAGCCTGCGGTCCCGAGAGACCCGGGTTCGGTTCCCGCTAAGGGCATGTACCTTGGTTGCAGTTTGTCCCCGGCCCTGGTCGGTCGTGCGGGTGGCAGCCACTCGATGTGTCCTTTTCACATTGATGTTTCTCTCTCTCTCTCTTCCTCTCTCTCCCTCCCACTCTACCTGAACAATAAATGTCCTCGGGTGAGGATTAAAAAAAAAAAGAAACCGCATTAATAAATCATTATAATTTATTGTATTACATAAAATGCTGACATCAAAAATGTTTATTTTTTGCAACTCGTAAGTTAATGTTATTATATATGTATAGCTCTTACATGTATTATATATTCTATGTAGTAAAATTTTTTTGAGGAAAAATATTTATATTTTAGAACCTCTAACTGAACTTTTTATAGACTTTTGAATGAGGGGTCCAACATTTTCATTTTGCACTAGGTCCTGCAGATTATGTAGCCAGCTCTGATTGTTGGGTCTTCTTTAAGGAAGCTGAAGAATCCTAGAAGAAAAACAACAACGACAACAACAACAACAACAACAACAACAACAAAACCAACAACAAAACACCTCTGAACACAGATATTTGAGTGTTTCCTACCGAAGGAAGTTCACCACACCAGCACCTGGAAGTGAAATACATAAGTGCATACACAGAGCTTCCAAATACTTAAAGCCTTACTATTGAACAGAATTTCAAAGATCACCATACACTGAAAAAAACTCCAACATGAAAGACAAAGACTCAAAGAAAGAAGCAAAATATAGCACTCAGGGGAAACTGAGACAATAAAGGAAGCTCAAGAAAACTTTAAAAAAGAAACTACTTAGCCTGGTTGGTGTGGCTCAGTGGATTGAGCATCGTCCCATGGACTGAGAGGTCCCGGTTTGATCCCCAGTCAGGGCATGTGCCTGGGTTGTGGGCTCGATCCCTAGGGAGGGGTGTGCAGGAGGCAGGATTGATATTTCTCTCTCACATTGATGTTTCTATCTCTCTCCCTTCCCCTCTCTCTAAATAATCAATAAAAAAAGAAAGTAATTATAATTAATAGTCTTAGAAGTAACAAAAATACTGCATGTTTGAAACATGAATAGAATATAATTAAAATTAAACAGCAGAACACACACACACACACACACACACACACACACACACACGGCTTTGAGAATTAAAACCCAGCTCCCAAAATTAACTTTCAATAGATGGGTTGGAAAACATACTTAAAAAATCTCCCCAACAGTAGGACAAAAAAGTGAATAAAAGAAAATTAGAGCCCTGGCCGGTTTGGCTTAGCGGTTAGAGCGTCAGCCTGTGGTCCAGAGAGACCCGGGTTCGGTTCCCGCTAAGGGCACGTACCTCAGTTGCAGTTTGTCCCCGACCCTGGTTGGTCGTGCGGGTGGCAGCCACTTGATGTGTCCCTTTCATGTCGATGTTTTTCTCTCTCTCTCTCTTCCTCTCTCTCTCTCCCTCTCTGTCTGAACAAAAAATGGAAAATTGTCCTCAGTTGAGGATTAAAAAAACCCTAATAAATAAATTAAAAAAAAAAGAAAGAAAATTAGAGGCTTGATCCAAAAAGAACAACCTTAAGTAGATTTTCCAGAAAAAGAGAAGGGAGAAATGATGAAGAAATTACTTTATAAGTATACTATATAGTACCACTTAGAACTAAGGACTGAAATTCTAAATTGAAAGATACTACCAAGAACCAGTAGTAATAAATGAAAAAGAATCACAGCAAGGCACCTGCTTAGGGTATTCCAGAGAACTGTCGAGAAAAAGAGAACACTTGAAGTGTCAGAAGAAAAGACAGCACATGTCCACTGATGGAGAAATCAGAATGGCTCTAAACTTCTCAACAGCCCTGGAAACCATGATTCCTATGAAGAACACCTTCAAAATTCGAACTGAAAATACTGTCCAACCTAAAATTCTCTACTTGGACAATTTATCATGAGTGAGGGTGAAATACAAATATTTTCAGATAAGAAAACTCTAAAAAAAATTTACTTCTCTTGCATATTTTGTCAGGAAACCACCAGAGGGAAAAACAAACATGAAAAGGGAAGTCTTAGAATCCAAGAAATGGGATCTCAAGAGGCCGGACTTTCCATTCAAATGAAACTTGGTTCAAATGCAGAAAGAAGGCAGTGGTGTTCTAAGAAACATGAGTGATCAAGAAACCCCGTTATATATTTACTTGTGGTACCTTACTGTATGAGCCACTTCTGCAAACAATGCTATAGAAAGGCAGGGCAACCCACAGTTCCTTTTCTGGTCTTTTCTTACTCATCAGTTAAGTCAATGGTGGAGAGTGTTGGTAGAATATGAGCATATAAAGAACTGAAATAGCCCTGGCCAGTTTGGCTCAGCGGTTGATTGTCGGCCTGTGGACCAGAGGGTCCCGGGTTCGGTTCCTGCTAGGGGCACATACCACAAAAATAAAAAGAAAAAACAAATGCCCAAACCTCAAAACGTCAGAGTTTGGAATAAGTAAAGAACTGAAATAAAAAGAGTTTGTTGCAATGTTCTCACTGTTTTGGTAAGAACAAAATACATATGCATATATGAGCTACAAAATATGAATAGTGTAATTTTGCTGATTCCGTGTAGAAGTTAAATGATCTTATATTTGGATTTAAAACC